CATCATTTATTGTACTTTCAGTTGCTAAGAAAAGTCTACCTAAATAATAAAGATCTTTTTATTTTATTACATATCTAAGACAATGAAATCATCCGGAAAGGAAACTTATTTACCTTCACGAAAATATCCTCTACAACCACCTATGATAAATCAAAGAATAGTTTACTATTTGAAGGGTCATAATGGCGGGTTTAACCTCTCCTAATCTTAGTCTTCTAAAGATTAACAAAAACATTAAATTAAAGCTCGCTCCTAAGCTACATATTATTTTGTCAAAGAATCTATCTTCTATAGTGAATGAAATAGTGAAACTACCCGAATCTTTTAGTTTTGAGGAGTTTTTCTTTAGAAAAGCATTAATTTTTTCAGTTAAGGCCACAATCTCAAATTCACCGAGTTTACATTTTTTAATTTAGAATATGCTCCATAAATTTAAGTTAACTATTCATGTAGTCTAAAACTTAAGTAAATAGGATATTAATTTTCGGCTTTTTGAACACCTCTAAAAACCTTTAGTGAAGTTTATGTTTTTAAAATTTTTGGGAAAATAATATTGATGGTATCTTTAGTTCTTTCCTATGGGGTGGTTCTTCCTTTTTAATGTTTGAAGTAGGTTTCTTACTTAATCTCTTAGGTTCAGGATCTTCTGATCTACTTTCCTCTCTGGTCACCCTTCTAGTTACTTCGCACTTTTATTTTTTATTGTTTTATATTGTTCATTATTTTTCTCTTTTTGATTCACTTCAGTATTACTGGGTAATATCCTTTGGAGTCTAGTACCTAAAGAGTTTGTTGATTGCCCCAATTGAATTGCTATATTTTTTATTGTTGTAGCTAATTTTGTAATCACTTTTTCTTTTATAAAACTAATTCTAACTAAAAATAGTTTCTTTTCTTTAACTGAAAATTGCAAGCAAATTTAGATGGGTAAGTGGGTCTATAATTTGAAAAAAAAAATCTTGATTATTTCAGTTGCCTAAGGAGTTTTGCTGGTTAATGCTCACTAAATATTTACTATATTTTAGTTGTTATTCCAGTTGAATTTAGAGTGATTTTTTTTTACTAGGATTTTAGGTATTTGAATATGGATTGTTGAATCTATATTGATTGTTTTCATTGGCCCCACAACTAAACTACTATGATTTCCTAATTATCCTTAAGTACTATTATCACTCAAAATGGATCTTTGTATTGGATTTAACCTTAAGTTGCTTAACTTCTTTGAAATTACAACTACCTATGAACTTGGAATGGATAACATATTGGTATCATGTACACTAACTGCCTTTCTAAGGTTTACTGTCTTAGCTGATCATTGAAAATTATTGGTATCAATTTCCTCAAACAATGCATAAGCTTCACTAAATGCCTTTAACATCAGATATCACACAATTGTAGTATTTATAATTGACCTCAGTGATCTCACTATTCAATTATAAAAAAAATTCTATAATCGGTCAATATGACAGGGCATAGTGTGTGCATTTTCGAAGCAGACACTTAAAAGGCTCCCAGTTTTCATAAATTAACTCACTATCTATATGGGTTAAAAAAATTATGCCATTTCTAATTTTAGTAGTTTTAGATTGAGAGAAATACTTTGCTAGAAATTTTTTTGTAAAATCATTTCATGTATTGATTGTCCTAGTAGGTAAATAATTTAATCACATTTTGGCTTTGTCTCTCAAAGAATAATGGAATAATCTAAGCCTAACCGCATCTTCAAAGACCATTATAATTAAACATTGCACAGATTTCGAAGAAACTATCAATGTGGAAGTTTGAATCTTCTATAGGTGACTTCTAAAACTAAGAATTTTAGGCACTTTAAATGATTGCAAGTTTGAGTTCAAAATTATGAGCACTAATAGTAGGTCTATTAATACTCTGTTGCACTCCATATACTAAATGGTTGGCGAAATCCTTTTCCATTCTCTAGTTTTTGAGCATTTTTTTTTAAATTTCATGATAAAAAGTACGAGTTCATAATGCTCAATTCTACCCATACAACGCTTAGCATTAACTAGCCACCATACACTAATCTCAATGCAAGTATGATTACAATGCAAAATAGTTCACAACAAGATAACTTAAATAAGAAAGCAGAATACTAGCAAATTGAAATCAAGCGCTGAGGTGCTATCAAAATGATGGAGTTGTGGCACTTGCCACTGAATACAAACTTTACAAAAATGAAAATTGCAGTTATTCACCACTACTCCTAAGATTCACATTGTACAATGAAATAACATAACATACAATCACAATTAATAACAAAATAAAACAAAATTTGGATTAAAACTTTTGGCCCGATTATTTAATATTGATCTAAGTTAAGAAATTAATATCGTCGAAAAAAACTTGATCCGTGGTGCAAAACACTCATACATTCATACAAGTTTATGTGTCGATCAAGTAGTATATAGATTAGAATCCGAGTTATTGATCTCATAGAGAACTATGCTAACTCTTGAATTAGGTCAAGTATTAGCTTAATAAGCTTATAGTTTTATCCAAGGCTTTCATAAATTTTTTGAAATGAAAGTGACAAATACCGAAGAAGAAAATCTGTGTTTGTTTTTAAGATTTTTAGTTTTTTTATGAACTATTTCTTTGAATTAATTTTTATCCTTAAATTTGTAAGTCATCCAACGGTTCACCGGTGAAATTGACAATCAACAGTCAAAACCCCTTTAGTCTTTTCCAAGTTGTTAAAAAACATTGAGATTTTATATTACAGTTTAACGTCTTAAAGCATGCAAAAATCCTAAAGATTCCACAACCCTCTAAAGATTGCACCCTCTAAGTAGTAATATGCCAATTCTACCACAAATATGCGAATAATCAAATCGTTTCACTAGTTTTCTTTCGAAATCTCTAGATCACGATAAGTTCTAACAATTGAGCGGACAATTTTAAAGTAAATTAAGCATTGAAGGCTAAGACATCAATTTATCTCAAGAAAATCAGAAAATCATGTAAAATAACTTAAAAACTTAATTCAAATATCAATCAAAAGTGATACGAACTTAGTTATAAGATATTTACACAAACACCATACATATTCTTATAATTTAAAGCAAAATACAAAAGAAAAGAGGGAAAAGAACACTCCAACTATGCTTCGCAAAAACTCTTTTGCTCCATGGCAATTCTATTTGCACGATGCTCCTTAATTCTCATCTCCTTCTCCATCCTCACAAATGCATTGCACTCACTCCGCACACTCTCTATGTGCTCTCCACACATCCTCTAAACACATTTCAACCTCTAGAGCCTCCCCTCACACTCTATTGCCCCCCACTGAAGTGATTCCTCAACTCCCACCCCAAGCATGCTTAATTGTTCTTGTCTGGGCCATTGCACCACGATTCTATAGTATGGCGCCTAGGCGTTGAGGCACTCGAGTTCTGCCTCTGAGGCTCCAAGCTCTCTGTCTTCTGATGATTCATTAGACTTCGATGGCACTGTCCCTTTAAATGAAGGTGCTGATGCGTTGGATGATGTCGCTGAGATTCTAATTGAATGACGCCAAGGTTTTGTGCTCTATATACTTGGCTTTTTTTCTCGTTTTCAAATGACGTTGTGGCACTGGCACATATGGCGTTGAGGCTCTAAATTTGACTTTTAGGCGCTAGATAATTGGTGTCAAGGCTCTGGGCTCTCTGGAAATCCATGCTAGGAGATCCCAACATGACACCTAAACTTTGGGGCACGTTGCTAAGACGCTCAAGTGAATTTTACCTTTAATGAATTTATTTTTTATGAATTTTCTTACACAAAATATACAAACTTATGCAATAAATGAAGACAAAATATGGAAGAAAGACACATGCTCATGTAAGTTATATTATATATTTTTCTCACTTAACAAAACATAGGGCGGCATATATGCAAAAATTAAAGTTTAGATGTCACCTATGTAAATACATAGGACTTGAGTGGTCTGTATGTAAATCATTCTAATTTTCTTTATTCCATTGAGCTGCATCCTTCTTATGAACTACTATAGTTATCTATTGGCTATAAAATGATTTTTTTCTAGAAGAATTCTGTAAAAATCTCTAAGACAATTGCAGTAAACTAGGACTATACTTATTTTCTGGACTTCCAAGTCATGAACAATTTGCCTCAAATGAACCCTTAGGCGGTCTTGAACTTCAAGTCATAATATATGGGAGCTATGTTACACTTCGATTCTTTTTTTTGTGCGGTATTTGATGGGATATATCACTTGCTTTGTTTTGTAAATTATAGATTGACTACAATAAATAGAAGGGCATTTACATGCATACCACCCAAGTCTTATGTATTTACATATCTAACACCGAAACTTTATTTTTTTTATTACATAAAAAATATTACCATCTTCTCCTTACCACAAAGAAAGCAGCCCCCTTCAACACTTTGTAATATCTAACAAATACTAAATAAACCAACATTTTTTTTGGGGGGGGGAAATTTACATACATGATGCACAATTCTTATGTTTATACATATCTTACTCCCAAAATTTTGATATTTACTAACATTTTGGTGTTATACATTTATGAATGAAAATATGTATTTTCGCTTTTAAGAAGATGGTGATGGTGATATTTTGATATGCATGTAAATACGACCGTTTAAGTGTTTCATATGTAAATAGATAATAATTGTGTGCAATGTATGTAAAGGCCCCAAATTTTTTTAAATATAAAATGTTTGATTTACATTTTGAGGCAATTTTATTTTCATTCATTAGTAGCTACTACTTAGTACAGCTTTTGGGGCAATCACATATTTTTTTTTTATTTTTAACAATTTCTCAATACTTTGATTATGCCATGCATGAATACATTGATTTGGTAGTTCAAAAAAATCACCCGGGTGGTATTTATAAATATCAATGTTTCGGATGGTCTGTACGTACTTATCCTTTGTTTTTAGTTTGGTGATGTGAATTTTATGGATCTTCTGCTGTAATATTCAGCTTTCTTTTTTTTTTTGGTGTGTTTCAGAGCAGGATTTACTAACAGTGTTTAGAGATGCTAAATTGATATTAATATGAGGATTACCGTTGATCGATGTGGATCACATTTTGAAGTGGAATTGGAGAAAATGAAAGCCAGCTGCTCTGGACGCGGGTGTGTTGGTGGTTGCGAATGGGAGCTGATTTCCTGATGGGGAAGGTGTTGTTGGGGCTGCTGGAATCTTGGCGAGCAGCACTGTTTGGTACGGCCTTTCTTACCTTTTTATTTTATTTTATTTTATTTCTTGTTTGGGGCTTTTTTGTGACAGGATTTGTAGTTTTTGAAGCTTTGCTTGCTGCTTCAGGCTTATAGAATGGCATTTTTTTTTTTGGAATCTTTAATGGAAAATTGGTTATTTTGTTTAACCATTCTAGATATATATTTCACACACGCACACCCACTATCTATACACACACGAGCGCACACACACGCATATAAGTGCGCGCCACGCACACCCACTCTCTATACACACACGAGCGCACGCACACGCATATAAGTGTATGCGCGCGAACACACACACGAAGAAGGTTTGATGCGGCAAAGTAATGAATTATTGTATCAGCATTTTACAAAAATCAAACACACACTCGTGTAATTAAAGATAAGCAGGAGGAAACCCATCAATTTTTGTGTTTAAAACCCTGGAGAAAGCGAAAAAAAATCATTGGCCTAGCCCCATTGAAATTTTCCGCTGTAAATGATCAGTACATAGATTTACTCTTCTTCTTACTTAGAGATGACGGAGTTTTAAAGTTGGTCGATAATAGTCGTAGTCTGTCTGTAATGAATATAGTTCTCGGTGATAACACGTTGCAAGGGTTGTAGGCGATTGCTATGTAAACAATAGTCTGTCGTGAATGTTGTAGACGGTGGCCGTATTGCTAACTTGTCGTATATGTCGTATTTAAAAGCCATGCTAGTAGTTATTTTGTGGGCCGCATATGGTTGCTTCAGTGTTCGTTGGATGCATCTGTTGTATTAAGAAGTTGCAGAACTTGTGAACCACATAGTCTATAATGATGAGTTGTGATAATGTCCGTAGGCCACAGGGGCATGAGTCAAGAGCTGCATGAGTTGTAAGTCACCTAGATCGTAGTTGGTAACGCAGACCATAGTGATGAGCTGTGATGATGTCTGTAGGTTGCAGAAGCTAGAGCCGGGAGCAGCACCAGTTGTGAGCCATGTAGGCCGTAGTGGTGAGCTGTGATGAAGTCCGAAAGCTGCAAGGGACTGGAGTTGGTAGCAGCACAAGCTGTGAGCCACATATGTTATAGTTGGTTATATAAGCTATATTGGTGAGCTATGATGTCGTCTGTAAGCCATAAGGGCATGAGTCGGGAGCTGGATTAGCTGTAAGCCATGTAGGTTGTAGTGATGCGTTGTGATGATGTTTGTAGGTCGCATGGCTAGGAGTCGGGAGCTAGCCGCAATGGTGAGTTATGAGGAGAGCTTAAGGAGTCGGAGAAAGTCACCGCCTTCGGGATGTATTGTTTCACCGTATTTGGGAGGTGTCTTTGCACTATATGTGTGGTGTGTTGCTACATTGTCATCAGGATGTGTTGTTGCATCGTCTTCGGGGTGCATTGTTAACACCGTCTTCGAGGTGTGTCATTGTACGTTGTACTGGACGACATATTGCTCCACCGGGCGCTTCACCATTCTAAACGTATGTTGGGATTCCATAATGCACTTTGTGACTCCACAAGAGACTTCGTTGCAAGGAGCTTGTGGTGGCAGATAGTGGTTGATGCTGATTGACAACTGCAAAAGTGGGAGGTATTCGCCGAATCTACGGTAAAGTAGCAATGCTGGACTGTAGCTCCACATTTCAAAATTAAGCGATTTTAGACTTGTTGGATTTGTCTCACCAAGATGCTCAATTCAACTTGTCAAATTTGGAATCTGTTTGATCTTCAATTATGCGCAGAAAGCTTTAAAAGTGGGTTAACTACTTGATCTTGGCTTAATTTGACTCGGATTGGACCAATTTTGGCATTATTGGGTCCGTCTCGTCGAGCTAAATAGTTTCACCATAAGTTTGTTAAAATCGAAGTTCTGAATGATTTTTAATCAAATATGATTATTTCTTGCTCAAAAAGTTGCATCGAGATTCACGAAATACTTTGAGATTTATGCAAGCTGATAATTTTTTTGATAGCGTAGCAATTATTACTAATCTTTTAAAAATACTTTGGGTCATTTACATAATTACTAATTGATTCTTATGAATTACACATCTAACAATTATATTTACACGCATGCCATTCAATTCTTTTATATCACATAAAAAAATTGTTACGATCACTAACTTTTGAAATACATATTTTCGTGCATAAGTTGATGACACCGATTATCTAACTTTGTATGTTAGTTATCTAAATAAATAAAAGTATTGTGTGGTATGCAAATTTTCCAAATAAAATAGATCTTATTTATGCATATATTTTCATGTAATTATGAAATTAAACTGCTAAATATTTGAATATCAAACTCTTAAGTTATTGTTGGCATCAATTTTTGGATATCATAGGTGTAGGGTGTCCACCTGTGATCGGCGAAAATTAGTTATCGTGTCATGCACGAATTTGGCTTAAATTGACCTGAGAACCAGCGAGCTTGTTCATATGACCCCAAACAAAGAAACGGACCACACGAGTGCGTCCGGAATGTCGATTTCACTTACGGGGGATGTTCACTTCGCTACGTCTTCGTGGGCGGGGTAAAAATGTGTGAATTATCATTTTGGGCACAATCGTGGAAAAAATGGCCCAAACGACCCCGAATGATGAAACGCCAATGCGTCTGGAACGTCGATTTTCGCCGCGAGAACGTGTACGGAGGATAATTATAATAATATAATAATAACTACTATTATAATTTAATATAATGTATATTATTATTATATATAAAACCTCTATCTCTCCCTCTATCTCTCCCTCTATCTCACGCTCCTCTGCCATTTTATCGAACGCACGCGATTCCTCCCCGAACCGCCTCGCGAAAACCGATCCGAGCTCCCGGTCGCCAGCGAACACCGACGCCGAAGTTCTCCTCTGCGCCGCCGAAGCCCCCAGCCGGAACGCCGGCCTCCTCTGAATCGCAGCCTCCGAAATCACGATTCCCCCCTCCCCATTCGCGACGGAGAAGAACCGCTCGGATCCTTCTTCCTCGGTCGCCGATCTTCCTCTTCCTCTTCTTCTATTTCTTCTTCTTCCTCTTCTTCTTCCTCTTCTTCTTCTTCTCCTAATTTTTCTTCTTCTTCTTCTTCCTCTTCTTCTTTTTCGCCTCTCTTTCTTCTTCATCTTCTCTTTCTTCTTCATCTTCTTTTTCTTCTTTTTCTCGGATAACCCGCCAGCCTCGCCAGATTTCATTCACCTCGCTGGCTTTTACCTTGTCGGTGTTGTGTTTTCGTTGGAGTAAAATGGCGAAGAAAGACGTCAATTTTTTTGGGCTCTCCTCCACGTTTCCTTCGCTCCCGGTGCGCACCGCCGACAAACTAAGTCCTCCAACTCGCATGAAAAGCCTCCGCCGTCGCTCTTTTTCGCCGGCATCCTTGTTAGTTCACCTCCTTCATCGTTGTCGAGCGATTCTCTCTCGCGAAGGTTCCTTTTCTTTAGTGTTGCATATGTTTTATATGCTAAATCATTTATTTTTGGTACTTCACATACCTCACTGATTCCTATCTCCTATTCTTCTCGTTGCATGATTCATTGCGAGACACACTGAAGCGTGGACTGGACTTCGACGGCTTGGAGCAAGTAAAGGAGAAAATAAAGAGAACATGCCTGCAACCTTCGCGGTGGTGAGATCCCCTAAAGTCCTAGTAAAGTCTTAGCTAGCCCTAGGTTTAGTGGTGTCTAGGCGTGTGGGTTCGATCACCCACACGGGGTGAGTGCGCCGGCATAGGTCGGCGCGACGACGTGCATGCTTGATAGATCGTCGATTTCCTACAGCTAGCCTTTAGGTTAGGACTTCCTGTGCGTAACCAAACGCCCTCCGTAGAGCCGAGTGTCTCCCATTTGTTGTGAGCCTTAGCACAAGTCTCGATGGGTCGGAGTCCCTCACTCCCCTTGCTTTGGGTTTCCCCAGCTTTACTTGGAGAAGCTAGGAAGTCGGACTTGGCAAAGCGAGAGAAGCTTCGTAGCTGGCTCGCTTTGCAAAGTCTGGAGGAGTTTGTGAAATGGTAAACGTGTTGTAGCTAGCACATTTCCCGACGCCTGGAGAGTTTTCCCTTCGGAGATCCGGAGAGAAAACTCCCCACATTCCCTCACCAAAACAAGAGGCGACGGTGTCGCATATCCAAGGGTATAAACCTTAGGTTTCCTAGGTGAGGTCGTTAGTACGAGCGTGACTCGCTATCATATGTGGTCATATGCACCTCTTTGTTTGCATGTGCAGATCTTGCATGTTACATATTGTATGTCATATATCGCACTTGCACCTGCACTCTACATCTTGCATTTGCACTTGCACTCTGCACCTTGCACATTGCATTTACACGTTGCACTTGCACTGACACCTGCACTGACACCACTTATGCCTCGGTCGGTTATCCCGAACCAATCACATCACTTGTGTTTCAGCTGGCTACCCCGGCCCGGTTGGCACAACACTTTTGTTTGACTGGATGTTCCATCCCGATCGACCTACCACTTGCTCCTTTGCATGTTATGTATGTGTATGTACATTTTTGTCTGCATAATTGATACCATCTACTTGTGTTGCATTCCTTCGGGTCACTGTCTTACCAGTATACTCTATTTTTGGGTCGCTGCCGTCACGGCATGCCCACCTTCGGGTCACTGCCTTACCAACGTACCCTCTTTTCGGGCCCCCGCCACTATGACATGCCTACCTTCTGGTCACTGCCTTACCCCTCTCTCGTGTTGCTCTCTTTTCGGGCCCCTGCCGCTACGACATGCCTATTTTTGGGTCACAACCTTACCGGAATACCTCCTTTTCGGGCCCCTGCCACTACGACATGCCCATTCCTACGAGTCACTGCCTTCATGACATACTCTTTATCACTACTTATATATTTTGATTTCCTGCATTAGCATTTGCATTTGCATATTTGCATGGATAGCGAGCCAGATTCGTTAGGAGAGTGACCCTGTGTTGGTCGCGATGTCTTAACGAGCATTGTTTGTTGGGTTGATCCCAGTGAACAATGCGAGTTAAGTCATCGGAACTGACATGAGTATGACTGTGCTAAGAATCCAATGAATCTAACTAGTGTCATTCCCTTTTGTGACACTCTTTAGATTTTTTTGGATCCTTAGGATGGGGCCAGTAAAGTGACCTCCTCAAAGTCATATCATACCAAAACTTACCCCGCACTTAGATACTAGGTTGATGCATTTTTCGTTAGATTGTGTGCTAGGCTAGGATTTAGGGTGCTAGGTAGTCTTTTTGATATCTGGCTATTGTTCTCTGCTGGATTGGTTGCCCTAGCCAGATATCTTTCTTTTGCATTATGCTTGTGATGTGACTACATGTTGCATATGTATGGTAGTGTGTTAGGGCGTTCTTCTGTAGGGAGCCATGTCTATTTTCATACACACACATGTACCGCTATTGGGGGAGCAAGTAATGATTTCTGACCCTTTTGGTTGCAGGTGCTATTAGCTCCCCCCACTTTTAAGGCATGACTCACGATACATTATGTCTATGTGAGTTTTCCCGCTAACATTTGTTTTCATGCAGGATTGAGTCTTTTCCTTTTCTCGATGTATTTTTTTTGGAGTCTAGGAGTCTTGTAGCAGAAATAAGATACGGGCACGGGTTCAGAGACGTTAGCACGGGAACCATGTGGAGGGCACCAGAAGCAGATGCTCGTGCCCCGTATCTTAATTTTGCATTTATATTGATGTATAGAATTAGGACCGGGCATGTATATGCGGAGTCCGACCGCCCTTTTTCTTTTCTGGGATATGTTGCCGACCCAGCGACACCGGCCTATTTATTATTTTGGTTTGACTTGCTTTGCTTTATTTTTGCATCATGTTGCATGTCTGTACTTGCATGTGTTTTTCTTGTTTTCTTTCTGTGTTTTATCTGGGATTTCGTGATACAACATAGGCTCATTAAGGACCCTAAAATTTTAATTTTCTACAAAATTCTAAATAAAATCTTCAAGATAATTAAAATTGTGGATTAAAATATTCAGGATTTAAAAATTGCAACATTTACTTTCTTGCATATATTAATAGACTCTCCACAATACTTAGGATCTTTCTAGATAATTGCATTCATGTTTGCATGTCTCGAGGAGGAGTCCCCGTACTTTTCCAACCTGACTGGCCCAACATACCTTCATATAAGTGGTTGTCTAGTGCGCCTAGGGTGTTAGAAGGCTCCCCGACCCAGGCGGGTTGTAAGTCCTTTTGTAAAATTTTAATTTTCTACAAAATTCTAAATAAAATCTTCAAGATAATTAAAATTGTGGATTAAAATATTCAGGATTTAAAAATTGCAACATTTACTTTCTTGCATATATTAATAGACTCTCCACAATACTTAGGATCTTTCTAGATAATTGCATTCATGTTTGCATGTCTCGAGGAGGAGTCCCCGTACTTTTCCAACCTGACTGGCCCAACATACCTTCATATAAGTGGTTGTCTAGTGCGCCTAGGGTGTTAGAAGGCTCCCCGACCCAGGCGGGTTGTAAGTCCTTTTGTTGGAGTATTTCCAGCTTTGTAGCTGAACCTCCACTTTCTCTTTCTTTTCTGAGGCATCATTGCTATTCCAGCAGGTATAAATCCCACCTCTTGGAGCTCCAACTTGTAGTCATAGGATAAAGTTTCATTACTTTGACCTTAGGGCTACTGATGTTCCCGTGGATGATGCAATTCACAGATTGCTGACCAGGGATTTCAGGACGTGTTGGGTCGACTACCTTCACGACCAGGTAGACTTAGGGTCCTAGTAGCTGTGTATGACGGGTCCCTGGTACCTCGACCCAATTACCTCTACCTTTTATGATTATTCTACCTTCCTTTTTATTGAGTCCCTTTGAACCCTATCGCTCCTTGACCTCGTTGACATCACCTTGACGACCCGGTGCCGATGAGCTGCCGCCCATTTTGGATACGACGATTTGTCCTCTACCCTTTGGCCCGAATGTGCTTTGACGTATTGGGATATCACCGTTAAGATGATTTAGGTTATTTCGTGGGCCCCATGTGCCGGTAAGCCGCTACCCATTCTGGGATGTGAGAGACTCATTCTTTGCCCGATTGTTTAGCGTGAGCTTTGAAACATTGGGACTGTTCCCACACGGAATAACCTTCCTTTGGTTGCCTATACCCTAGGTCTATGATAATATGAAGTGAAACTTCTTTTATCGAGAGTATTCTTGGCTATCCCCCAAGATGTAATTAACCAGTAGGAACACGTTCATCTGATAGTGCTCTTGATCCCAGAACAAGTACATACACCTGACTCTCTGGTTATGGGTAGTCTATGTGGATACTTCTTTCGCGGATATTGGTTTAAGTTGCCTCCGCCCGATCTTGTTTGGGCGGACATTCTTAACCTATCCTTGCGAGGTTTATCGCACGTAGACTCTCCACGTTTTACTTTTTTTCTTGTTTGTCTCTTTGTCACATGTCCCTTCTTATTCGATTCCTCTCATCTTCGAATCATTTATATGGTTCGTGAGGGAGATTTATTTGAATGTGGGAAGTATACGACGATCGACAAGTTGGCGGCTCCTTTTAAAAATAGAAAAAAGAGAAAAATGAATGGAAAACCAGTTATGACATTATATATTTTTAATGAGGAGGATGTATTTTAAATCTCAATCATTTATGAAAGCTGAGTTAGGGCAAGATTTTGTATCCTTCTAAAGTTATAAGAGGGATAGTGGTTCTGGGTGTAATATCCCATCGTGATGTCACATGTTTCTAATCGTGCATATTGCCCTTCGGGTTCACCATTATCGAAAAAAAAAGTTGAGGGTGGGCCTTCTAAAATAATAGTAGGGTGGGAGGGATACAATCTAACACCCAAATTCTTTTAATAAGATACATATCATTTAAATCTTTAACATTGCATTAAAAGTTATAACCATCATTATCCTTTTAAAGGTAAAATGAACTTTTTCTTGTGTAGGCTTATGACACTAATGTTTTAAAGTGTAAATATAACACATGCATTTAACATAAATGATGTAATAAATACTAAGAGTAGTTAAATATTATTTATATGGCATGATAACTACTTAAATATGTGAAAATAATATAAAATAAAAAAAAATATTATCAGTTCAAAACATTGATATTTTTAATAAAAAAAATAAAATAAATATTTGTGAAATCATTTAAATGAATATAATATAAATATTTTAGGAGTCTAAGGGTTAAGTGTTAGGGTTTAGAAACTCAAATGAATTTACTTAGTCCAATTGATCTATACTAATTTAAAATAAATGATTAAAAATTGATTAAGATATGCAAATTTTAATTTTTTTCATTGGTTTAGCCAATTGTTTTGTCCGCTTTGATTTGATTTTGGAGCCAAATGGTTTTGAATGTGGATTGAATTGGTTGAATGTCGGTTCATGGTTGAAGTGGTCGAGTTTGTTGATTTGACCAGGTTTTTAACTTGGGGGCAATAACATACAAACCACCCGAAGCTTGCTATTTACAAATTAACCATTCACCTTCATCCATTTTTAATTGGTAGGAAGTTACTTGATATAAAATATTAAAAACTATTTTTTTATAAATATTTTTAATATTGTAAAAATAAAAATTTTAATCTAATATATTTTGAGGACTTTTTATATTAAATATTTTGTAAACAAGCCAATGAGCCAAATAGGGATTGGCTTGAGCTTGGCTTGTTAGCTCATCAAACTTAACTCGAGTCATTTACCAAGCCGAGCTTGAGCAAGCTCATGAGTCATTGTTACACCCCTAATCCTCCTAAAGCATGAAAACAAGCATCCAATTTAAAAACACAACATATCATACTAAAATGAGGCAGATACTTTAATGAAGAGCTTCTTGATTGTACTTAATTTAATACTCTTATTGTGTAGGCTACTTAGAAGTTAAAATAATGAATTTTTTTTTTTGTGTGATACAAAAGACATGGGTATTGTAACTGCAAACAATAATTTGGGTATTATGTATGTAAATATATAGAAATTATGTCGCTTTCCGTGACTCTTTGGTTGACAGTTTATAAGACCTCTGAGGTCATGGGTTCAATCCTATATATGTGCGAATGAAAATTCTTAGGCACATGAGATTGTTCGAGAGACTCATATAATAGTCTCTGACCAATCTTTATATATATATATATATATATATAGAAATCGAGCAGTATGTATGCAAATACCCCTAATAACTTTAGGATGTGAAGAAAAATGGTTGAAATTCCAAAAACCCACCATCTCATAGTCAAACACATTAAGATGAATAATATAATATAACTATTATAGGTATGGAAAATGTATTCATAAACATGTGACCAATACATTTTTAGGAGCATTTACATGAAATCACACAATTCTAATGTATTCACATATCTAAAAAGTAAACTTTAATATTTATTTATATAATACTCAAATCTTTAATAATACATTAAAAATATCACAAATATTAATTCAGCATATTTACATTTAAACACCTAAACCTTTACATTTACATTCATAACACCCTTTAAATCTTTAACATCACATCAAAAATACCCTTTTACCAACTTTTTTAACAACTCAAATTCACCTTTTTTAGGCCTAGGTTTATAGCACCACCAATTGTGTTACAAATGTAAATATCAAATTTTAGCGGTTAAATATGTAAATTCACAAAGGTTTATATTCACTTTTTCATGCCTATTAGTTTTTGTAAACTAAAAATACATCTTTTGGAGCATTGATGTGATTACGACTAGAAAATATTACATCAGGAGTCCTGACTTAATTTCATGTGCGAATAGCAGTATTTAGGTGTTATTGGTAGTATTGCGGTGTTGTTGTACCTATCATCCGCATCTAAACATGATGCAGGTTATTCGGATGTAATATTTTTTAGATTACGATACGCTAAAAGTTTCATTTGTATAAATATCAAAATCAGCACTTCCAAGATGTAAATACATAAAAAAATTACAAAAAAACCACACAACTCACGAATTCAGTCAAACATCTGAAGCGCAATTCAAGAAAGGGCACATCGTCTCTACCTCTCAGCGACGCATCAACAGTCGATTGAATTGCAGCCCTGCGAGCTCGAAGGACTCTCCGTATTGCTGATGAAGGGATCGATCTTCACCCACAGAAGCGAGAAAACGGAAGCGAGGAGCACGGACCAGAGCACAACAATGGTGGGGGTTCGGTTCTGGCGTCCCATCAAACCCTTGAGGAAAGGATAGAGATGAAGGATGACCCAGAGGGAGAAGAAGACCTTACCGAACAGAGGCCCCCATGCTTCGTAGCCACTGTTCAGCGCGTCAGAGAAGCCGGCGACGACGCCGATGATGTTGAGGACGATGAGGCTGGTGGGGATGATCAGCAATGTGGTCCACTTGAACAGGTAGAGTTCGCCGAACTCGGAATCATCGGTGGCTTTTGCTGTTACGGTGAAGTTGGTGTCGACGCCGGCGAGGATCTTGAGAAAACCTTGAAAGACGGCGAAGAGATGGGCGGAGACGCCGCCAATGACCCAGAACTGCTCGTTGCGCCACCAGTCCTCCACGCTGACGCCGCTCCAGCGGAGCTCCAGGACGCTGGTGAGGATGATGGAGATGAAGAGGGCGAGGAACAGCATGCTAGCAACATTGGACAACTGTTTTCACCAGAAATCCTCATTAATTTTATCGAATTTGAGCTCGAGCTTGAGTCATTGAGTTTGAGCGGGCTCACGAGCTAACGAGTCGAGTCAGGCATGGCTTGAGCTTGGCTTGTTAGCTCGTCGATATGAAATATTTGTGTGATATAAATATAGAAAGTGAAGTTTAGTTGGTATGTATGTAAATACTCCATGTTAAAGGAAGATATATATATATACAAGCCACTCATTTCTTATGTATTTACATACCTAACACCTAAACCTCAAATTTTAGTTTTTTACATATATGTACAATACCCATGCATGAAAAAGATGTATTTTATTCTGTAAAACTTCCAATTGTGATAGTTTGATGTGATATGAAAGATCTGTGTGGTATAAATATCAAAAATGAAGTTTTAAGTGTTAGATATGCAAATACTATAGAATTGAGTGACATGTATGTAAATGCCCCCAATGCTAAAATAGATTATTTACATGGTAGTCCTCCATGGGGACAACCACTGAAAAATAAAGCTAACTTACAGTTGGTATGATGAATTTCCCAGTGAGAAGACAGATAGCTGGCAATGAGCAATAAGCCACAAGGGGGAGGGAAGTGAAAGGATAAACAATGGTGTTTATGTAAGCCAATCTCTGCAGCCATTTGAGGCGGCCGCCTCCGTATCCGTACCAGAGCGGGCAATGGCGGCTGAGGAAGATTTCGATGGAGCCGAGAGCCCACCGGAGAACTTGGTGAAGACGATCGGAAAGATTGATTGGCGCCGAGCCCTTGAAAGCCGGCCTTAATGGCATGCAGTAGATCGATCTCCAGCCGCGACAATGCATCTTGAATCCGGTAAGAATGTCTTCTGTAACAGATCCATATATCCAACCAATCTGAAAATAAAAAAAGAACTGAAAAAATTTAGAAAGATTAACATACATACCGACAATTCTTATGTATTTACAATATGTATTTCACTTTTATAAAGGTTAAAATAGTGATATTTTTGGTGTGCTATGAATGATTTCGGTGGTATAAATGTAAAAAAAATCAAAGTTTAGGTGTTAGATATATAAATACATAGTAATTTGGTGGTAATATACATGCATACGGCATAATCTTATGTAAATACTCATCTAATATCTAAACTGTTATATTTACATACATGCCACTTAAATCTTTAACATCACATCAAAACCATCACAATCAATGTCTTTTTAAAAGTGAAATACACTTTTTCATGCATACTGAGATGTTATAATTGTAAATATCAAACTTTTGGGTGTTATATATATAAATACATAAGAAATGTGTGGCATGTAAGCAAATTTCCCTAACCTTTATTTTTATTTTATATAACATCATAATCTCTAAATACATCAGGAATACCACTGACACCAGGTTTTTTAAAGAGTTAATTGTCAAAAAAGTCCCCTAACTTTTCTTTTTAATTACATTTAAATACATTTTTTCATGAATATGTTTGATTTTATAAAAAAAAAAATGTAAAAATTTAGATGTTAATTACATAAATATCCAAGAACTGAGTGGCATGCAAGTAAATCAACAAGAATTTAACATTTCAAATAAAATAAAAAAAAGAAATTTACACAAACCTCCTTCCCCCATTCAGTTTTCTCCTCATATCCACAGCTAATAACATGAATCGCTTCTTTGATCAGCGACGACGAATTTACGGAATCCGGCAGGCCGCCATTTTCCATCAGTGTAGATTCTATGAACACAGTAGACAGACCAAAGGACTTCTCAAAGCTCATATGGGATATCAACATTGATCTCTCATGTTCATCATAGTCTGCAAGCAGGAGAAAGGTTTCTCATTGTACCAAAATTAATTTAGGACGATTTACATATATACCACTCAATTTCCATGCATTTGCAAACATGCCACATTCTCATGCATGATAAGGCAATTTTTTTCAATTTTTAAAAGTTAAAAAGATTGTATTTTTGATGTGATACGAAAGATTTCGGCTGTTAAATGTAAACAGGAAAGTTCAGGGGTTAGATATGTAAATATATAGGAATTTGGATGGTTTGCATGTAAGTTCCCCCATTAATTTGTAGGAAGATTTATGTATTTAGATATCTAACACCTAAATTTCAATTTTTACATACATGCCACATGCTGTGCATGAAAAGGTGTATTTCACTATTTTTTTAAAATTAAAATAATGGTGTTTTTTATTTGATATAGAAGATCTGGGTGGTATAAATGTAAAAAATAAAGTTCATGTGTTAGATATGTAAAATAAGAATTGGGTGCTATTATCTGAATTCTGCATCAAGACATAGAATTCTTATGTACTTGCACATCTAATACTTAAATTTTTATTTTTTACTTATATATAACTCCCTATTGTCTAAATCACACAAAAACATTTGTATGCAAAGATACAATCCACTTTAGATAGGCCAATGTCAGTAAATTTTTGGTGTTTTGAAGACTAGAGTGCTATAAAAGTAAATACAAAATTTGTAAGAGATAATTACATAAACAGCACTAGAAACATTGCTATTTAGAAGATTAACACCCTAGTGATTTTTTGTTTTTAAACTACTCAACCGATGCATTTATGTGTGCGACAATCAAACCACTGTCAATTTGATAGTGGTTTTATCACTAGTTTTGATATTTGAGTGAGATATTTGAGTGAGAATTTGAGTGAGAATTTGAAAAAATGGATGAAAGAGGGAGCTAGATTTGTAAATAGCAATGTTTCTAAAGTGCTACGCATGTAATCACACCAAAGTTTAAGTGTTAGATATGTAAATATATAATAATTACGTGATTTGTATGTAAAGATGATACTCACTGTCTATTTCTTTGAGATTAAATATGGCAGCATTAAGATCTTCGCGCTGAGAATCTTTGTAAATTGCATTTTTATCCTTGGGAGCTTTCTTAGAAGCACAGCAGCAACAGCAGCAACAACACCAGGAGCAGAAAGAAGCTTTTGGAAGGGCAGGTAAAGATGGAGGCCCATAACCATAAAGTGCTTGTCTATTGAAAGCACAACCAGTCCCAACATAAACTGGTCCTTGGATCCCATCAAGTCCTTTCATGTTGATCTGGTAGAAATATGAGGCAGGACAAATTATCAGGAAGATTTACGTACATACCACATAACTCTTAACGTATTTACATATGTAACACCAATACTTCAATTTTTACATATGTCATATTACCGATGCATGAAACAGTGCATTTCAACTTTTTACAAGTTAAAATAATAATATTTTTGAAATGATATGAAAGATTTGAGCAGCCGTGTAAAAGAAAGGTTTGATTGTTATGATTACATCGAAGAAGACGATGTTCCGATTGGCATATCGGTCACTTCGATCGATTCCATCAAACCTCTGAGGGAATTGTATGTAGCATAACTGTGGACCAACTTGAGGATCCATCATAAAACACATGGCTTCGCGGACCGCTTTGCTGTTGTTGACATAGTGATCGCAGTCAAGGTTAAGAATGTATGGTGCGTTTGTCAGAACGGCGGAAACTCGGACCTGCAAAGTGTGATTATGGTGAAATGTTGTTATTTTTTAAGTTAGAAGAAGAAGAAAGGATGTGAGGTAGCAGAATCATACAAGTGCATTCATTGCACCAGCTTTCTTATGGTGTTGGTATCCAGGTCTCTTTTCTCTTGATACATAAACGAGGCGAGGAAGTTCATTTCCTTCAATATCATGCGCACCGCTATGACCGAGAAACACCTGTAAGAAAATTTTATTTAGTGTTATTTGATTTGCTGGAAAAAAATGTAGCTTAATTGCATTTGGAATATTTTGAAATTGTTTGGTTCTATATAAAATAAATGCAGGATTTCACATTTTCTTGTAAGGTTTGAAAAAAAATTAAATCAATGTAGAATACGTGGCCAATAGTGGGCAGCGGGCGGGTTGTTGATGGCGGGTGACAACAGAGGGCGAGTGGTTGGTGGTGGGTTACAGCAGCCGGCGATGGTAAGCGGTGAAGGGTGGCGGCAGCAGATGGCAGGGGCGTTGTGTTGATGACGGCAACGTGCAACACTTAACACAAAACGGTATGTTTGGAATTCTCTCGTAACCAACAAATTTCAAATACATTGAAAATGAACTAGAGAATGAATTTCAAATGCATTGTAATTTTACACTGCATTTAGAATTCACCCAATCAAACACCAAAATTTTTGAAATGCATGGCACTTCTTTTGCAGCAAACTGAATAGACCCGAAGGCTACCATATTGCTTTGGCCAAAGAAAAGTTAAGCTTTAAATAATTTTCTTTTGATTACAAGATCTGCACAAACCCAAGAAAAATATCCAGAGCTGTGAAGAATCCTCAGAATTAAGATGCCTATTCCAAACCACAAGGCACATGAACACAAACATACCACCCAATTCCTATTTATTTGCATATCTAGCACCTAAACTTCAATTTTTACATTTATACCACCAAACTCTTTCAAGTCATATCAAAAAGTGAAATACATCTATATATTAGATATGTAAATACAATCATTTAAAATACCATCATTTTAAGTTTTCAAAAAGTGAAATACATCTTCTCACACATAGGCAATGTGGCATGTATGTAAAAATTGACTTTTATATGTTAGATATGTAAATAAAAAAAGGATTGAGTGGTATCTATGTAAATCTTCCATAAAATAATAATTGATCAGACCTGAATCATGCCGGGATGATCACGAGTGTTGTTCCCCGGCCAAGGAGTTCCATCTTGCATCACCCACCCATCCTCAGGTGTTTTTTGAGCCTTAGCAACCAGAGCATTTATCCTCACTTTGTATTCTTCATAATCTCTCTGCAGTAAATCCCATGTTCGACACTCATTCACCACATCACTTGTAATGATTTTCCAATTCCTATGCTGCTATGCATTTATATATGTAACACCTAAACTTTATTATTTACATTTATTTCACCCAAATCTTTTATATCACATCTACACCTTCACAAGCATAGGTTAGCTGGCGTGCATTATGTTTAAAGTAAAGTTTAGATGTTATATATGTAAATACATAGGAATTGAGTGGTATGCATGTAAATCTTCCATGATTTTAAACTGTAGATCATGAAAGCGTGAAAAGTGAATGGAGCATTTACTTGTGCACCACTCAATTCCTATGTATTTACATATATAACATCTAAACTTTACTTTAAACATACAGCCACCAAACATGCGCATGAAAAGGTGTATGTAACTTTTGAAACTTTAAGATACTGCTATTTTTGATGTGATATGAAAACTTCTGGTGGCATAAATGTAAAAGGTGAAACTTTAGCTCTTAGATATGTAAATACATAAGAATTGGGGGGTACCTATGTCAAAATCACTAATTAAAAAAAAAACAAACAATTTTGATTTATGGAAGGAAAATGCTTACTTTCATTGCCCTGCGTTCCTTGACAAAAGATGGCTGCACTTTATCTTTCAAATAGTCAAATTTCTGAGAAAAATAGAACTCAGGGGCACGAGGTTCGATCAAGTACTTCTTACAAAAAGGAACCCACTTTCTCGCGAACTCAGCAGTTTCTGCCATGGCCTCGAAGGTGAGCATGGCGGCACCATCATCAGAAACATAACAAGACACTTTTTCGACGGGATAATCGACAGCTAGAATTGAGAGAACGGTATTTGCAGTAATTAGAGGAGGCTCTTTTAATGGATCCACAGTACTAACAAAGAAGTCGACGGCGGCAAGCTCGCAAGGTTCGCCCTCCATTTCATATCTAATGAAAACAGAGAAATCCAGTCAGACCAATCTTCATGTACATATGTACATGCATATCACACTTCTTATGCATTTAAGCACCTAAACTTTCATATTTACACACATGGTCAAGTCAAAAATAGTATTATTACCACTTTTTAAAAGACAAATACACATTTTCATGCATAGGTGTAAACCACTAAAGTATTATGTAAATATAATATTTTAGGTGTGAGATATGTAAATTCAAAAGAATGTTGTGCTATGTATAAATATTTCCCTTTATATTAAAGGTTTGGGGCATTTACAAACATACCACCCAATTTTTGTCTTTACATACCTAACACCTAAGCTTCTCTTTTTACCTTTATATTACAAAAAATTTTCATATCACATCAAAATTGCCATTTTCTTAACTTTTACCAAGTGAAATACATCTTTTCATACAATACGAAAGGTACTATTTTATGTTTAGAGACAAAAAATTAAAACATGTACAAACACATTAAGGGGCATTTGATATCTTTTTTGTTTTAGTTATTTATTTACTTTTTTGTTTTATTTATTTATTTACCGGAAATAATGTATGGTATACATGTTGAGTTGTTTTTAAAAAATAATTAAAATAACTTTTAGAAATTTTGAATATGTTAAAATAAAAAAACTAATTTATTTTCTAAAATAAAAAATACCCCAAAAAAACTGTAATCAAATAGTCAAAAAGATGTTTTGTTTTAAATTAAAACATTAAAAAATAAAATAATAATAAAAAAGGGAAATAAAAGAAAGACGTGAGTGATCCCAAATGGTAATCTAGATTAATACCTTGCAGCAAGAGTGTCGATGTATGTCTCCCTTCCAATGGGAGACCACTTAGGGAACTGATCCAAAACCCATGAGAAAGCGAACCAGACCTCGCAAATGACCGAAGTCAACCATAGACCATAAGCACTATCAACAGGATTTGTGATTCTATATTGAAAGAAGAGCCCAAGAATTATTAATCTCATTATAATCACAGCCCTATAAAGCGTGAGCTTATTACGAGATATCGGAATTATAGCCGAAAATGGTTGCCCGGCTTCTTCGAACCTGCAAATACTCAGCAACAAGACATTTTGGAAATTTTAATGATTTGCATTAAGTAAATCAATTAAGGAGAATTAGAATATCAACATTAAGAAATTGCATCTATTCGAGGCTCATATTTGCATTTCAGTAAGCTATCTTGCATGACACAATCACCATATAATTGAGCTAGATATATTAATGGGGGCATTTACATACAACCTGCCCAATTCAATATGTATTTACATATCTAACAGCCAAATTTTACTTTTTTACATTTATACCACCCAGAACTTTCACATCACATAAAAAATACCATTATTTTAACTTTTATAAAGTGGAATACACCTTTTCATGCATAGTTGAGCTGGCATATATGTAAAAATTGATTAGGTGTTAGACATGTAAATACATAGGAATTAAATGGTATGTATGTAAATCTTCCTATATTAATTTAGTAGAAGTTCACATAACATCCAAAAAAAGAAGAGAAGCAACCATGCCTTTGTGCAATTTTTTTATTGTTTGACTGGTTGGAATCAGCCAATGAAAACACTTCACTGTATTATAAGAAACTGAGAGTTTGCGCCATTAATTATGATATGAAGCACACAGGATGATTGTAATGAGAAGCAACATGCTATGTAGGCTCACTAGAAACAACAGGATAAGCGTTTTTCGCACCAAAAATAAGGACACCATTAATTTTTTTTTTTGGCGGGCATTTGCATGAATGCCAGCCAATTCCTATGTATTTACATATCTAACACCTAACTTTTAATTTACATTTATACCACCAAAATACTTCCTATCCATGAAAAAAACCACCAATTTAACTTTTACAAGGTAAAATACACCTTTTTATGCATAGGACCATAGGGAATGTGGCATATATGTATAAATTGAATTTTCGGTGTTAGAAATGTAAATACATAAGAATTGAGTGTTATGCATGTAAAACTCTCTTTTTTTATCCCGAGCCTACACAAATTAAAACAGAATTTTTAATTGTTCCACACGTTTCATTGTGTATGAGAATGTAAAAAATGAAATATTGATTCTCATATGCTTTATGTTGCTTGATTTACATATTATGTTTGAATTGATAATCTTTTAATAAATAAGCCTAACTTAATCATAAAGGCATACGCAGCATTAACTGTTCAAGAAAAATAAAAACTAAAAGCTCAAAATTTTAGTAACTAACATAGCTATTAAGTTGGATTTGTGACCTAGGTTTCATTTGAAGCTTCTTTAAAAACCACGTGTGCCGAACGGAGAAGGCCAACAGCAAAAAGTTGTTATTCTTGCAAAACAACATCAAGAAACTTTATGGAGACATTGCTTCACTAAACGAAAGTTTTTTCACGCGCCGACGTTCACTGCAATAGAATGGAGCTTCGCTCCTATCTCAAACGAAGCCAATATGTATGTAATTTTTCAAAACAATTTACATAGATGGGCTATTTCATATGTTTTAGCCAATTGCAAATTTTGTTACATATCAAGATAAAATTTTAGCTTAATTCATCATATTACTTGAAAATAAACTCTTAACAACTAATAATTCCCTTTGAGTGCAGGGTTATAATTTGCTTTGCAAAAATACCTAAAAAAAATACTACAATTTTAATTTATCTAGAGAACTATGTTGCATTCAAAATCAGGCATAAATAAAAATTAAAAAAAAAAAAAAACAACGAGCATTCAAGTTCTTAGGGCGAGATGTAAGAGACCATTCCAATGTTATCAACAGCATTAGAAGCCAAAAAAGCAATGCGACTTCTCATGAGCAACATGGCTTCTCAACACTTGAGGTGCCATGCATCACTGCAAACACTCTCCAAAAGAGAGAAACTTAAAAAAAAAATAACTATATCACTTGTTTATATTTTATTTTGGTGCAAAGTGCAAAAATAGTCCCAAGACTATCCTATTACATTGGGTCGTTTTAGTCCCAACGTTTATAAAAATATTAAATTAATCCTTAAACTACTTTGATGGGGGATAAAATAACCCTCATTGGGGACTATTTCAACCCATATTAAAAGAAATTGCAGATTAAATTGACACTTTTATAAACTCTGAGATTGAAATGACCATTTGCAAAAAGCCAAAGGATTATTTTGACACTTTTCTCTTTATTTTGTTACAACAGAAACTATGAATTAATACAAGATGAGTATTACCGCATTAAGTTATAGAGAAAAAATGAATCAGAATGCTCTATTGTATTTTCGATTAAAAATGTTGATAAATAGATTAGTATAACAATATATAATATTACAAAACAAGTATAGTCTACAGACAATCTAACATTCGTTGATATATATTCCAACTTCATCATGATTCTAACTCTTATCTATCACTAGATTTGAAACCCTTCATCTCCTCATTTCTCTACTTGAACTCATCATCTTCATTGACAAGGTATACTACTTACGCACTCAAAGCACATTTGCTTAAATTAATCAAAATTTTTTTTTAGAAGTGTGTTTATGTTACTCCAACCCATCATAACCTTTTCAAGTTATCCCATGTTAAAGTAAGTACCGCGAAACACATACTCATCTTCAATGTTAAAAGTATTAGCATCCATTTTGTAATTCAAAGCAAGGTAATAAACACCTGACATGCACCTTAACGTAAGATGCTCACCTCAATAATGGCAACCTCTCAGGAGTTATGTAAGGATATATAAGACCACCTCACCCAATCACTTAGGTGAGGGCAGGCTCACCCTTCATAGCATCGGGTCATTATGTATTGGTTCACTTTTTTTAAAATCTTTTGCAAACAAAGAGGCATTTTGAATTTTTCACTTGCCTCCTTGGCCTCACTTCTATTTTCGTAAGGACACTCAATATTAATGTTGTAAATGATTAAATAAACATGATACACACAAAATGCAAAACAAAAGGAGAATCACATACCACACAAAAGGAGATATGCTTTTGCCTTGCCCAAGCTCCTACGTACGGAGTCACGCTTATCTTTCACAATACTAAATCATTCTATATTTCTTTATATTCTTAAAATCATTTACTCATGAATTGCAATTTGAAAATTCACTTTACTTATATTCATCAAGAATAATAAGTCATGAAGGATTATGTATTATGTGGGCCCACACATGATGTAAAACAAAAAAAGAATCCTTTACCAAATAAAAAGAACCCCTAAAGTAGGACATAATCTTTTACGCACTTCATCTTCCATAATGTCACAGAAACTTGCAACATCCTCATCATTTTAAGAAAATGAGCAAGAAAATGGATGAGAAAATGAATGAAGGGATTAGAAGACCCCTCTTTTGTCATTTTCATCCAATTACCATCACAATCAATAAAAAGGGATGCGGTAAAATCAATCAGAGACAAGAAATAAGGAAATTATTATGTTGATACATCTAGCCATAAATTCTTTCCTGATTAGTCCCATCTCACTAAAGAAATACCTTTTTTGCATCATTATCAACACATTCATCTTTTACTAGTGATGATAACCTTTTTTATGCCACCTTCAAATCTACCTATCCATAAAAAAAACATTGAAGATAAATTATACTTCATGGTTTCACTTTGAAGTCAAATAATATAAAAAAACGTGAGAAGAAATGGAGGTGAACCTTTATATGTGTTGGATCTTTCTACATGTCCATTGAAGTAAACATAAATGATTACAAAAATAGGGGTGGGTTGGTGGTATAATTGGAAATGGTGATGCTAATGTGAAGAAAAATGAGTAATCAAATAGGTTTACTTCATTGTAGTCCCTAAGACTTGTCATATTACTTTAATCAATTCATAATAAACAAACAACATTGACCTATATGAGCTTACTAGATGTTGAGAACCTATGTGGATAATATCTTACAAAAATAAATCAATGGGAAACAACTGCCAAAATTAGAGACTTTAATACAAATTTTTCCAAAATATACCACATTATTATATGAACACCATCACCTTTCCAAGGTAAGAGCATTTCATATCATAAGCTTTAATTTGCCATATAGCAATTATTATGGTGTCAAATAGTATTAAAACTAAAAGAAAAATCACAACCCAATATTACAGTAAGAAAATTATTATTAAGGCTGCCATAGAGGGTAGTTTGTTAATATACTTAATATGAAAAATAACCATTTGTCTTAGGGTTACTTGACAAAAATGTGCAAATAATAGGAGTTTATAGCGCACTTTTCATTCAATATATATTGATACATACTCTTTGGTTTCCATCTGCTGTTCCGATGGGACTTGAGTCTTCTTCAATTCCTTCTTGTTCTCTTTCTTTGAATTTTTTTTCTCTTTCCAACTCTGTACTCGGTTCCTCCATATGGGGTTTCCATACGCATCATTTAACTCTTCAAAATACAATATAAAGAGATGTCATTACTATAACTTGCCAAACTCATAGTTAAATTTTTTTCAGATGACAAGAAACCAAAAAAAAGTGGCATTTACATACCACCCAATTTCTATAAATTTATATATCCAACACTTTTTCTACGTTTATACCACCCAAATCTTCAAACATATCAATATTTTGACTTCTAAAAAGAAAAATACACCTTTCCATGCATAGGTAAGGGTGGCATACATGTAAAAATTGAGGTTTAGGTGTTAGATATGTGAATACATAGGAATTGAGTTGTATCTTCACAAAGTAAATAAAAACAATGCTCACCACTCTCTGTCGCTGACAGATTACTGAAGTTTCTAGCATGAACTGCACCAACCTGAAAATTCAAGTGGCTCTGAAAATCCATCATTCTCACAAAAAGATGATGCAACAGCATCAATATACCACCCTTTCAGCTTATCAAAACCATACCTGGTCATCTTGGAGATGAGATGACAAGGTTACATGTTCCCCTGATTCCAGGTCTTTCATGGATTCTTTCCCTGGACAGATTGTGTGCCATAATTAGAACATATTAGAACAAGTTTGTTTTACTATCCAAGATTTACAAGAAGTCATCATTCCAGTTGAATAGAAAGGTGAGTTTAAGGGACTACTTAGCTACAAATAGGATTCAAATCAGATTTGAGAAATCATGTAAATCCAGATTTTGTAAATTCTGGAAGATGAGATTTGGGATTTAAGGTGTTGCTAGGCAACAGATGAGATTCAGTAAATCCGGTAAACCCGGATTTACTAAATCCTAAATGGGTTAAATTCAGAAAACTGTCTGCCAACAGATTTACTAAATCCTGTTAATCCAGTGAAAATGTTTGACAATTTCTGTCAGGATTTACAAATCAGTGAAGCTATCACCGAGCTGCGTCTTAAATCTAAAGCATGCGAAGTTAAATCCACCGATTCCTAAGATTTACTAAATCCAGCATCCATGGCCGAAATCCGTGAAATCCGGATTTACAGCATCTTAGGATAAGATTTCACCATAAATCCGTTGCCAGACAGCCCTTAAATGAAGAAGAATATGCACAATGAGGTTAAGTGATGTAAACCTTTAAAATCCTACAACCCTAGGGATCCATATCTGCAATTAATTACTGTGAGCAAAACGGGATTTAGATTTGTGGCTCAGAAAAAACTGTTTCGGGAGATTTAGCTTAGCATGCGAATCTAGAAAGAGAAGAAGTAGCAGGCCTCCCAGCTGAATATAAATGAAAACTTACCTCTCGAAAATTAAACATTCTCAACAATCTACAACTAATAAACCATAATAAGACAGAGAAGCAGACCTCCAACATGACCATAAAGCTCGCCACATCTCAAGCAGCTTTCCCGACCTTCTCTGATTTCTTCTTCAACGCAGGATCGGCATAGCGGGTAATTGCAGCTAGGGCATGCAACGAAGGCCTCCCCGCTCGACGAAGAGATGAATCCGACGATATCGCCGCAGGTGCTGCAGAGAGGAACGCCAGATTCCACCATGCTTCCTCTTCCTTCCCTCAAAGCGCATCAGAAAAATGAAAGCAACAGATGACTGCATCTCGGAACGAGGCGAGCGATTTGTAGGTGGAGGAAAGAGAACTGAGCAGAGCGGTTGAGACATTTGCATCAGGAGGAAGGGAGTTGGAGCATTGGTATCAGAAGGTAGAAGGAAAGATTTGAAGCAAAGGCCGCTTTCAGTTCTCTGGTCGTTGGTGGAGGGGGAGGGTTGGGGAAGACGAACACTTTTTGCAGAAAGGTACATGGAAAATTTGAAATGGCAAAATTGCATCATCTACCCCAAAAAATTTACCCTACAACTTATGTCATAGGAGCACATAATTTCTTGAATTAAAAATACTTTAAAAAATGGAAATTTACAGAAATACCACATCATTCTAGTATTTACATATCTAACCTATGCATTATTGAATTGTGTCCCTCTTATGAGAAAATTTATATTCCTAATTCCAACATTTTAAAGAAAGAACACTTAAAATATATGTGACGAGCTTTTTAGGTTTTTCGACAAATCAGTTATATGGTTATTCAGAAAAGTGTCAATTTCTTACATCGTAGATGCACTTTTCGTGATACATTATCTTAACTGCTGGCATTGAGATGAACCCAACGAAGATGGAGGCTGTTGTGGCATGCCGCAGACCCAATCATTTACTAAGGTATGCACGTTTCATGATCTAACTTCTTTATACAAGAGATGTATTAGAAAATTCAACTTGATCGTGACACCATTGACAAAGCTTCTCATGAGGCTCAAACTTGCTTTAATGCTTTAAGGATTAGTGACTCAAGCCCATGTTCTCTTACTTTCAGATTTTCATACTTTCATATTTCAATGAAGTGTTCAATATAGAGTTGATGCCTCTAGTGCGGGCATTGGAGCTATGCTAGGTCAGGGAGAACACCTTATTGCTTTCTTCAAAAAAACAAAATGAAAAATTTCAAGAGAGAATATTCTACATATGACGAGAAATTTCGTGCTATTATGAGAGTCGTCAATCATAAGAGTCATAATTTATTGACAAATGGAATTATTCTTCACACTGACCTCGAGGCTCGACGATTCTTGAGTAGCCGTAATAAGCTAATGGTCATAAACACCTCTCAGATGAAATTCCCTTATTCATTTCACATTGTGCTTAAACATAAATGTGCAATTTCTTAGCCACTTTTAAAGGACTTTATGAGATAAGTTACAAAACTTTAATTCAGTTCAACAGCTCACTCTCATGCAGATGGGCAAACAAATTATTCATCGTAGTTTGGGAATTCTTAGATGCTTTGTAGGAAAGAACATCAAGAAGTGAGACTTAGTTCTTTCTCAGCTGGAATTTGTCTATAATTGTTTTACTAGTCAGTCTATATGTCGCAGTTCCTTTAAGAGTGGGTACGAGCCGAGCCCACTAACACCTTTAGAGTTAGTCCCACTGTCAATAGCTACTAAGCTTAACACTGATGTCAAGATTTAATTCAAGGACATTCAACCCCTACATGGGTAGGTTTAGAAGAAAATTATTAAGGAAAACACAAAGTATGAAAAACAGACTAATAAATCTAGAAAAGTGACATGACATGGATCAGGGGAGGAATTTCCAGTATGTTCATTAGGATGGCTCAAGCTGTTAGAGATAATGATGAAGCCTCTTTGCTCAGGGAGAGTGACACAACAAATGATTTCCCATGATACCGCAGTTTCGTCGTATTGACTACCATGACCACGAGATTCAAATTGTTGAAGAAGATTTTGTTTATATTTTATTTTTTACTTTATTTCATTTTAAATTTACTTCATTTGCTTCTTCCTTCTATTTATTTATTTCTCTAGTTTCTAATTAGGCTATTTTCTATTGAAGATCTTTATATACGTTATACCTTAGTTTTTGGATTCTTAGTTGGATTATCTGTATTATCGGATATATATCTTTTTTCGAAAGTGGTGCGTTTATATCTTGCCCAAGAATAGGTGGTGGATCACCCTCATCGTCCACCTAATTGATTCGCCGTTCGCCCCCTATTTCAGTCAGACAGCCATTGACACCACTGCCACCTACTATTGACAACCATGAACCACTTTTTACGCTTTCGGTCGTCGTCCCATTGCCTTTCATGCTAATTTTCAATCGCCATCCATCCCTCCACTCATGCAATCAATCCTACAACTCCCCCTAACAACTTTTACCTTCTATCACATCTTCTAAGAGCCCTATAATTCTTTACCTTATATTTTCTTACATCTCTAACAATTCATGATATTTCCACATATTATCCTTTCAAGAAAAGAAAATTTAAAGCCTAAATAAGGAAGGAGAAGTGAGCTTTCAAAGCGTTGAAATGTATTTCTGGAGGAAGCAGCAACTCTTCTTCTTCAGCAAAGATTTTGAGAATTTTCATTACAAATTCGCTAGAAATATATGAATCTGTAATTTTTTTTATTGCAAGTTGATGCTTCTCATTTTGCAGATTTAACTGTTTTTCAGCACATGTGCTTCCAAAGAGTGATCAGTAAAATTGCTTTTTATGTTCAAATGTAAGAAAATAAAGTAGAAAAATTGCATGCATATCTACTAACTTCCTATGAATATGACATAAATTTTAAGTTTTACATATCTACCGTAGTTTCTATGAATGAAAGGGTGTATTTAACTTTTAAAAAGTTTTAAAGAAAATGATATTATTGATGTGATATGAAAGATTTTGGTAGACATGAAACTTCATAAAACATTGGCGTACAATAACAGATGTGTGCTGGAAAATTCGCGGCGGTAGAGCAATGGATTATCGTCTTAGTGTTGCACGAGAATTCAACACACACTCAGATGAAAGAAAGCAACCGGTAATGACACCATAAGTTCTCAAGTAGAAAAACCTGTAAAGCGAAAAAAACCACTTGGTCTGACCCAATTGTAAAAATCCACTATAGGTTGATGAAGTGTTACTAGGTTTTCCAATTTACAATGTCGACTGATGGCTTCCTGTCGGTGGTGGTCGACGGTGATTGATGAAAGTCAGCAGCAGGGGAAGATGGTCGGTGATGGTTGACGATGACAGTAGTGCCCAACGGCGATCGGTAGTGCTCGATGATGATCGATGGGTGTTGATGACGGTTGGCAGTGGTCGACGGCTGTTCGCGGGTGGCGACGACAGTTGGTGGTGGTTGACGATGGTCAGCGGTAATCAACGACGATCGACGATGATAGAGATAGTGTTTAACTTCTGTTCCTTCTCAATGCTTCAAGTTATCTCTCAAGCTTCAAGCCTCTCCCCCCTTCGTGAGAGGGGTGGAGCTCTATTTATAGTGTTCTAAAGACAAGTAATGTAGAAATATGAACATCTTTGATCGGACGGTCCAGAGAGCTTCCTTTGATCAAATGACGTTTGGTTGACATCTGGGTATCTTAACTATGTCAAAATTGAGCAATCTAGGTGCCTTAATTATGTCAGAATTGAGCAATCTTAGGCTCATTGGATTCGTCATGTTGAGACGCTCGATTCGACTAGGAATTTGTCAGATTCAACATTTGTTTGACTTTCCAAATGTGTTCAAAAGATTTCCAAACTTGGTTTGATGGCTTGATCAAAGCTCGATTTAACTCAGATTGGTCTAATTTTGATATCATTGGGTCTATCTCATCGAACTGGTTAGTTTGATTATAAGTTTGATGAATCGCTGCTCTGGGTGACTCATAATTGAAATTTGAATGTTTCTTGCTCAAAAGATTGCCTTGAGATTTAGGTTATGCCTCGAGATTCATGTTAGATGATGAAAAATTGTTGGTTGCGTATCAATAAGAGGTTTGATTAGGGTTCAATTCACAAAAAAATGTGAGCCTCTAAATCAAGTCTATATAAATATATTTGCAACAGTAACCTTCAATGCTACATTAAAAATATAATTAAGATTAAGAATTGTTCTAATTTGACGTCAACAATGCTTTCGACATCGAAACCAATGTTGGAACCATGAGTGTTTTGAAGAGTGTTTGATGGCGAGGTCTTACTTGCCCTTGCTTTGAAGAGTGTTTTATCCTATCTCTTTCACTTTTTAAGTGAGACCAGAATGGCTGTTTCATACTCCGATTGGGGGGAACACTCCCAGAATCTTTTGTTGACAATACTTCGTATCGACTAGACCATTTTGCTAGTCTTGGTCAATCCATGTTTAGTCGGGATACACATCTCTCGGGCTATTTGAGAGTGTCTCATCCGATTTTAGTTGGTTTTCCTTTTTGGATAAGATCTTGATGAGAGCATTTCGTTGCCAAGACCACTTTGTTTGTCTAGTGTATGATTCAGTCAGACTACCATGAACATTTAACCGCCTGACCAGGATGTGGTGACTCACCTATCAAGAACCTTAGAATATTACTAATAATAACAAAACTCTCCCTTATTTGAGAAACCTTTTCTTGATGTTTTCATATAGTGATTTATTTTCTTATATAATTTTGGAATTGTTTATGTATTTACACATCTAACCCATAAGCTTCAATTCGCACATATATGCCGCCTTAGCTATGCATGAAAAACATATATTTCATTTTGTCAATGTCAAAATAGTGGAATTTTTTGTTTGGGTGGTATAAATGTAAAAAGTAAAATTTGTGTTAGAAAAGTTATTGCATAGGAATTGGGTGGCATGCATGCAAATGCCTCTAATTTTTTATGTATTTACAAATCAAACATCGTATGTTTATATGACATTAAAAGTTAAGCATGAAAAAATGTATATTTCACTTTATGTGAGTTAATATTAGCAATGTGTCTCTGTCCTTAAAAGATGAAGGTGTTATAAAACTAAATGCAAAAGTTTAGTGGTTAGATATGTAAATAGATAAAGTTATAAAATTTATATAAATATATTCTTTTCTTGATTCACAATCTAATTTCATACTTCTGCAAAAACAAGGGAGGGAATTTGGCCGTTATAACCGCGTTATACTTCCTGTAACCTCCATGTAACCTACTGTAACTTACAAATATATAAGAACAGAAGCGCAAAATTTACTAGAAGGTACAGGTAGGTTACAGGAGGTATAACGCGATTATAACCTCATAATATTCTCCCTAGAACCTATTTGTAGGTTACAGACGTACGCAACTCTGCGTAAGTCTTATGTACGCAAATTTTTTCCTGAAAAAAAGAGGGTCATGTTATTTTGACCAAATTTTTCCATCAAGATAAAATTTTAAGCCCATATTCTGCCTTTCATTTGCATATATAACCTCCAATTTTTATGTATTTGCATATCTAACAACTAAGTTTTTTTTTTCACATTTATACCATTCATATCTTTCATATATACAAATATAAAATTATATATATATTGCTTTTATGAAAAAAAATTTTAAAAAAATTATTTTGGCATAAATGCAAATATGAATGTTTACCTGACACGCGATTGCAGGTCAATATTATCAATTTCTTACTTGTTTTGGGGGTTTTTAGTCAATTTCTTTCAAAGCAGGAGTAAGAGTAGTACAAATAATCGCTTTCAATTTAGTCCAAACAAAGGAAAAGATGAAAAAAATACACTAATTGCCCCGTTTTGTCAAATTTCCAACTGTCCGTTAGTGGCAAACACTAATATATAAATTTGTTATTTAAACAAATGATATGGATATAATTTTGTAAATAGATATATTTCAAATGTTATCTATGTAATTTCTTAAAAAATAGCCCCTATGTTGGTTGGTATAAGACCCCTCAAGTCCGGGGCTCGAGTCTCTTCAGACACATTTGGTCTTAAGGAGGTGGTATCCATGATATATATATGTGTTGCGTACCCCAGCCTGTTGGTTGACATCCATGGTATAAGACCCCTCAGGTTGGTGAAATTATTGCGTTCACGCACTCATTTACCAAAAAGTGTATGTCAGTGGGCCCACTTTTTAATTTTTTTTTTTTTTAAAAAAAAAAATTTAATGGACGGCGCACACGACGTCCGCACGCAATAACAGCTCCTCAGGTTGGGTGTTGAATTTTCTCTAACACAATTGACCTTAAGGAGGTATTCTCGAATTGTTACACATTAAATGTGGTTGGAGGCCTGTAAAATAGCCTCTGAATATTTTTTTTTAAATAATATATATATATCTTCTTTTAATTAATGAGGCTGAAAATCTTGTATGAAGCATTTAATGTTCTAACTAACCAGCCAGAGAAGGGAAGCTCACAATTAATATTTGGCACATAATTAACCTCACACGGGGCAGCCGATTGTACCACAGGATGGAAAGTTTGCATGCTTACCCCACAAGTCCTATGTATTTACATATTGATCTTTTATATTTGCACTTACAACATTTTTATATTAGAATTTATGCATGAAGATATATATTTTATTTTTAAAAGGCATTTTTTAATGAAATATTAAAGATTTGGAACACTAAAAAATATAAAAAATGAAAGCAACACCCGTTCTCTCTACCATCAAAGTCACGGCCACTTAGGGTGTAAACGAGTCAAACCGAGCTCGAGCTGCCCTCCGCTTCAGCTCAAGCTTAATTAATTTTATAGAGTTCGAGCTCGACCTGAAGTCTATGAATTCAAGCGTGCCCACGAGCCAATTTGTTTATTATATATAAAAAAAAAGAATGACATTAATTTAAGCTAACTTTATAATAATATTTAAAATAAAGAATTAAAAGAAAATAATAAGAATTCACTGCTATACAATACAAAATATTATTTTTTAAACATTTTTAATACCTTTAAGATAAATCTTGAAATTTAATATATTTTTAGCACATTTTGTATATTAATATTTTTAAAAATGAGACGACTACACAAGCTAACGAGAACGAGTTGAGTCGGGGCTAGCTCGAGCTTGGCTTTTTAGATCATCAAGCTCAATTTCACTTGTCTAGCCGAGCCCGAGCCAGCTCAGATGTCTCGCTTACACCCTTAACTTCCACCCACCTCTTTGCTTCCAATCCCGCCACATCAAACCGAAGAGATGTCCCCAAAGTACAATATGCATGATTTGAATTCACGACTTCATGTTGAAGTAGGACTCTCTTAACCACCATATCACTGATAAACGCGCTCTATCATTTACCGTTTAATGAATTTAACAGTGCTCGATGATGCAAGGAATGAAATTTAGATATTAAATATGTAAATTAAAAATTTATAGTGTTATGCATGTAATATTTTTTTTTTCTTTCTTTTTAGTAACATACTCATGAAGGAGGAAGTAGCCAAACCAGATGGTCAAGACAGAGACTTAAATGCAGGCTTAAATGAGCCAAAGGAACCTCCTTTTTATATCCCCACGGCTCCGTCATGTTCCTTAATCTACTCTCTCTCGCCCGTTCAATCGCCGGCGAGCTTTCTTCCTCCTCTTCCGGCGAGCCCTTCTGCTCCTTCATCTGCGTTACTCTTCCGGTGAAGGGATGCGGAGAAGCAGTCCATGACCGGACCGAGAAAGGAGGTGAAGTCCTTTATATTGAAAGCCGGCTCCCACACCAGCCGCCGCCAGCGGTCGTTCTCTCCCCCTCCCCCTACCCCTCCCCCTCCTCCTTCAGGTCCTCTCTTTCTCTACTGTATTATCATTCGATTCCATGGATATTGAGTTACTGATGCTTCTCCGTTTTCAGACTTGGAACCGGAGCTCGGTTCGTCTGATGGAGCTGTTGATGAAGAGCTCATGATGGAGCAAACTGTAAGCTTTATTTTCTATGTAAAAATGGTTTCTTTGATCTGGTTTTGTTTTCATGTTTTGAGTCTGTTGATTTGAAAAAGGAGGAAGATTTGTCCAAGATCATCAGTCTTCGCGCTCTGGCGAGCGAGGAAGACGACGACGACGACCAGCTTGTTCAGGAGGAGTCTGAAACAGTGCGGGAAAACATTCCAGCTGCTCCTGCTCCTTTAACAGAAGACTTTGAGATCAACGATGCAGCAGCCATGGAGGAAGAGATTAAGAATCTTAGGGATTTGGTTCAGTCGCTTCAGGAGAGGGAGATTTGGTTGGAGATGAAGCTTCTGGAGTTCCATGGCATGAAGGAGCAGGAGGCATCAATGAGGGAGCTTCAGAATAGGTTGAAGATAAGTGCGACAGAGATGAAGCTGCTTTCTCTAAAGATCGAGTCTTTGAAGGCTGAGAACGAGAAGCTCAGAGCCGAGGCTTCAGATTATAGCAGAGCTGTTTCAGAGCTTGAGATTTGTAAAAAGAATATCATGATTTTGGAGAGTAAGTTGAGATATGTTGGAGAGCAGGCGCAGGAGAAGATGGCAGTGCTTCATGGAAGGGTCACTGAGCTTAGAGAGAAGGAGAAGAAGGATTTGGAGGATGATTTGGAGGTGGAGAAGAAGCTGAGATTGTTTAATGAGCTAGAAAATGAGGTCTTTGAGCTTCGGAAGGAGAATTCAAGGTTGGCACAGGAGAAAGTAGGGATTTTGAAAAAGTTTGAAGCTGAGCACTCACTCAATGCTTCAGATCTCAGAAGTCCAGATTCTGTTCTCAGGACCTTAGAGGTAATATCCAAATCTTACATTTTCTTTGAGAAATTTGTCAAAATGATCCTAGGCTCTTTGTTGGGGTCAATTTTAGTCCCACAGTCTAAAAAAAAACATAAATTTAATCCATAGGCTCTTTTAAATGAGGCTAAAGTAGTTATGATTGAGGACTATTTCAGCCCATATTAAAAGACATTGAGGACTAATTTAATATTTTTTATGAACTTTGATGCTAAAATGGGCTCATGTAATTAATCTCATGTAATTAATCATAGGATCATTTTGGCATTTTACTCCATTTTCTTTAGAAGCCTTTACTTACATGCCACACAAATTTTATGTATTTACACATCTAACACCTATACCTTCATATTTAAATACATGCATGCCACTCAAATCTTTAATATCACAACAAAAATACCACCATCATTATCTTTTTTTTTAAGTGAAATACACATTTTGATGCATAAATTTATGACACGGAGGTATTATAAATGCAATATCAAACTTTGGATGTTACATATATAAATACATAAGAATTGTATGGTATATATGTAAATTCAACTTACTGGATGTGTGAACTTGTTTAACTTTGCAATTCAGCTATGGAGATTGGAAGAACAAAATCAACTGAGAGAAGAGAATGAAAATCTAAAGAAAAAACTGGAACAGCTTCAGAGTGATCATTGCGAAGATATCGAAGAGTTGGTTTATCTTAGGTGGATCAACGCTTGCCTGCGGTATGAGCTCAGAAATTATCAGCCTCCTTCTGGAAGAACAGTAGCAAGAGACCTGAGCAGAAGCTTAAGCCCCAAATCTGAGCAGATGGCTAAACAACTGATACTCGATTACTCGAATTCTCATTCAAATTCGAACCGGTTGAGCTCAATCGACTTTGATTTGGATGATTGTTTTTCGCAGACATCGAGTGAGGAATTTGATGAAGCTTCCTTAGACTCTGCAAAGACTAAATCTACTAAGTCGAGCAAATCAAAACTTTTCCGCAAGCTTAAAAAGCTCGTGCTGCCAAAAGGTCGCAACGAAGAGAAGAATGAAACAAGGGCTTCATTTGGAATCACTTCAGGTTTGTCTATAGAGAAGAAGAAGAATTCAACAGGAGTGGAATTTAATGGTGATGAGAAGTGGAAAAGTAGAAGAAACCATTCTCATGATCTAACAAGGCCTTCTTTTGATATTCAGAGTTTAAGTAGGCTCAATCTGGAAGAAGAAGGTAATGGTGGGATGCATGAACGCTGTAATTGTGACATTGGAGCAGTTTATGCTCATAAGAGGATGATTTCTTTGGATGAGAACTCACCATACAGCAGTTCTGTTGAGAACGAAGAAGTTGGCGATCCGACGGAGGACAAACTAAAGAAATTCGCTCGAGTTTTTAAGGATTCTAAGGGATCTCTAAGGTCTAAGAGGCTATCAGCATCATCAAGCATTGTCTGATTAATGAGGAAATGTAGGAAGGAGAGCTACTTTCTTGGTGTATATGTATTGGGACCAAGTATATATACATTGTATAATTAGATAACTGGATTTTCCATGGAAGTACTTTAAAAGATCGAGTTAAAATCAGCATAGCTCAATGGTCATTCTCTCTGTCTCTCTCGCGCAGAATATACTTATCTAGATAGTGTAAATTCATGGGCAATTTAGAATCCAACATATTTAAATTCCAACAGATGAATTTTGGTATAGTTTCTTTTAATGATGTTTTGTGTTGGGGCAAACTTATTTTAATGTAAGAAACTTTATTGGAAATAGAAGTGGGCTAGAACCATGGAAGATCTCTGTTGAACTGATTTTCTCAACTCTGTATTGGCTTTTATGAATAAGTGATATGATTACTGAAATAATGAATTAGTTAATGTAAGATTTAAATATGGTTATTACAATAATGAATTCATTTACTCCAAATTTGAACATCAACCTTAGTTGTATGAAAATAGTTGTAAGAATGATTTAGGTTTGCAAATTATGCTATATAAGTTGAGAGGAAAGTTCTAGGTGATCCTTGGTGGTTGTAATAGAGAGAATGATTGGGATGCCATAAAGAGGGATGGAGATAGAGAGGTAAAGAGATAGAAAGTAGGAGTGTGGGATGATTGTGGAACCCTAGGAGGGGAGATAAATTAGACTTTTGAAATCTTAGTTAATTTTAATTACTAATGCAGCATGAAAGTGAGTAACACAAATATAAAATTGAAGTTACAGTTAAATGATTTGTAGTCATGCAAATAACTGTGTAAAGCAAGCACAAATAATATAAAGCAAGTGAGATAAAAAGCACAAAAATTTTATGGGGTTAAGCCACCAACTTAGCCTATATCTACTCCTAGCTAATACCCATTTAGGGAATTAATACCTCAAAGTTCTATCCAACTTAAGCACAGTCTTGCTCAAGGTGATTATAATCGCAATGTAAATTACAATGATAATTGCCACATTAAGCCAATGTCCTAGATAATGAAAATGAAAATATAATCTACATAAATTCAAATTTTCAAATTTTTGCTAAAAGAAAACATTTTTTTTATAAATAGTGAACCTACAAACAATTTTGATTAGCTTACAATAATAGTTCTCTTGCAATGTATTGGCAAAGAGAAGCCTCACACTTTTGATAATTTAATTTCACTTTACATAAACCTAAGCAATATTCTGAGAAGTATGGAAAAACTTTAATATGACTTAAAAAAAAATAAAGCTTTTTACCTAGATTTCCACGACAAGTTTATTCTGAAAACATATTCAAGTGATTTTTCAAAAACAGGTTCAATATCCTACAAACAGTTATTAAATGGACTTTACAAATAGGATTGAAGCAAAACACAAAATGATTTAAAAACTAATATGAAAAGCAGATCTGAAGCAATTCTTGAAACAGATTTGATGAGCTCACAAACTATTTGAAAATAACTCAACTAATTTTTAAACTGAAAAAACACTTCAAAATTGATGAAGAACACTTTGAACAGCTTGAATTTCAGATTTCTCTACATAGATTGTGATTTAGAGTTTTTTTTTGAGTTTTCCTTAGATTTTCCCCTTTGGGAAACCCTAATCTAGTTTGACATTTCATTAATTTTAACTAGATATAAATGGTTTATCTTTGCAACTCGTGATTAAGTAGTTGTCAAAATTAAATCTTAATTTAGGTCATCAATGTGAAGTCATTTAATGTGAAGTCATTTAAAATTTTGGTCTTCAATGTGAACAACTTTTCGTCCTCAATGTGAAGTCATTTAAAATTTAGGCCATAATTCTGTTGGGAATTTTATTATTTTTATCATGTTTAAGACCACATAATTTTATTACCCTTAGAATAAAATATACAATGAACAAATTATTTTGTTATTGGCTGATGTAAAATAAATATTGCTCAGATAAATCACGCAATTTATTGATATGACATGTACTCTAATCACAATGACTTGGAGTCTATCTCATAGATTTTGGGCTTATAGACGATCAGATTGAATGATTACTCTCTAAATTTGTCTCTGCACATATTGTCCCAAACTATTTTAATGCAACTAATATACTACCGTTTTAACAATTTATGGAATACGAGGATGACAAACTAACCCACGTATAGAAGATATATGCCTACTTCTATAGTTCTAGATTCCAAACTTCTGATAAAAAAATTCTCTTCCCTTACAGGAAAAGAAAACACATCAGCCTGATTACACCAGCCATAATCAGGAAAATAATCCTTGATCCTTAACTAGTCAATCCTTCTCCATCCTTCTATCATCCTCAACACTATTCATTTTTCCAACAACCCTACAAACGTTTTCAACATCTCCCAATCAATTAAACACGATCATGATATGATCCAGAAACAAAACAGCGAACAAACAATGAATAAATTGCAATAGAGGGATAGAGTTGAGGGCTGATTTTACTAATACTAATAAAAGCAAATAAGATTAAATGTTGATCTACTATTCGAGAGTTAGACTGTCTCTCCACAAATCCTAGACGCCACTAGCAACACTACCAGAAAAGAAAAACTGCAACGAAAGAAAACATAAAACAAGCCTCAGACAATCAGCCCTCCTAAATATTTCTCCGCCAATTAAACAAGATCATGATATGATCCGGAACCAAAACAGCGAACTAATAATGAATAAATTGCAATAGAGGGATAGAGACGAGGGCTGATTTTACTAATACCAATAAAAGCAAACAAGATAAAATGTTGATCTATTGTTCAAGAGGTAAATCGTCCCTCCACAAATCCCAGGCGCAGCTAGGAATACCACCAGAAAAGAAAAACTGCAATGAAACAAAACATAAAACAAACTTTAGACAATCAACTCTCCTAGCCCTCCTACGGTTTCCTCCTCAGTTGGCTAGCTAGCCTCGTGCAATTTCCCAACCAATGCTCCCTGGATCAATTCGCAAGGCTCCCATGTTGCTTCATAATCTAACGAATCTTTCCACTTAATCAGTGACTCCTTTGCTCCAGCCACTAAGCGCATGCCTTCGACCTCTAAGTGTTTCAGAATCACCTCTGTCCTCTACCAGTATCAGAGGTAGTGAAGGTGAGGGTGCATGATCTCCAATAGCACATCTCAACTGTGAAACATGGAAGACTAGATGTAGTGTTGATGAAGGTGGTAACCTTAAGAGGTAGAGCTTTAGCTTCAACTAAACAATGTCCTCAGGTTCAAATTGTATCTCTCATATGTCCATCCACTTTTCTCTTCATGATCTGTTGAGCTCTCACTAGATATCTCTTGAGCTCTGTCAATATCATGTCCCTCTCCTCTACTAGAGATTAGTGTAGTATTATGCCCATAGTGTACCATGTAAGGTGGATCACACCCATACAAAATCATGAAAGGGGTCAGCATGATACAAAGTATCATACCAATATTCAATCCACGCAAGCCACAAGGCCCTAAGCTTCAGCGCCCCCGATACAAAACAACGCAGGTACGTCTCCATACTTCTGTCGACCACCTCATTCTGGCCATCAGATTGGGGATGATATGTTGTGCTCCTCTTAATGACTGTTCCTTGTAACCTAAATAGCTCCTTCTAGAATTGGTTGAAGAACACCTTGTACTGTCTTATACAATAGATTCTGACACTACGCGAAAGCGAACCAATTCTCGTATGAACACTATAGCAATAGACAACAGTGTAAGTGTGTTGTAGTAGAATGAAATGTGCATACTTGCTCAGACGATCCACTACCACCAAGATCACGATAGACCCTTGTGATCGTGGCAACCCCTCTATAAAATCCGGCTTCATTTCTTCCCAAATCTTCTCCAATAAAGCTAAGAGTCTTAATAACTCTCCTAGCTAAATGGACAAGTATTTGTGTTGTTCGCACAAATCACACTTTGCCGCCATATCTTCGGCTCTATGCATCCCCACCAAATAAAGTTCTGTCGATAGAAGGCTGTATGTCTTATTTACCCCTAAGAGTGCCCTAATGGCACTATCGTAAAACTTACGCAATAGTTTGGGGATGTACTCTAATTCCCTCGGCAACACGAACCACCTCTGATAAAGTAGTTGTTGCATTCTCAATGCACATCCAGGATGACTATCTGATCCTATAGCAACTCTGCCTGTATTTTCTACAGCCCTTCATCTTGCTTGCTCTCCTGCCTTAGAGCTTCCCATTCTAGGACCAAGGGTACCAGTAAGGCCGCTAGTTGGGCTCAACCTTTCTCGACAGTGCATTTGTGGCTTTATTCTCCTGTCCTTTCTAATACTGAATCTCAAAAGCATATCCCAACAGCTTGGATAACCACATCTGATGCTCCTTAGTCACCATTATGTGCTCCAATAAATACATTAAGCTCCTCTAATTAGTCATGACTAGAAATTGTCATCCCAACAGGGAGGGCCACCACTCTTAAATGGTCAACACAACAATCATCAACTCCCGCTCATACATTGGCTTTGAGCCTCTCCCTAGCTATGAGCACCTAGCTAAAATAGGTAATTGGTCACTCATCCTACATGAATATCGCTCCTAATCTGTATCTTGACGCATTCGTTTCTACCACAAAGGTTTTACTGAAATCCGGAAGTGCTAGTACCATAGCACTGATCATAGCTCTCTTCAAATGTTAAAATGCCCATGTTATGTTTCCACTTCTCCCCACTTAAAATTGTCTTCCTTCAACTGCTCCGTCAGTGGCCAGACTATCGTGTCGTATCCCCTCACGAATATCCAGTAATATCCGCTGAGATCCGGGAATTCCCTTAATACTTGAAGTTCCTTGGTACAGGTCAGTCCACCATAGCCTCCATCTTGGATTGATCCATTGCTACTCCTGCCTTGGCCACCACGTGTCCTAGGTACTGCACCCGTAACTGTGCAAAGGAACACTTCTTCAAGTTGCGTACAACCAGTGCTCCCTCAACTTCTCCAAGGCTGTTGCCCGGTACCCCACATGCTCTGTCTTTGTACGACTGTAGACCAAAATGATATCGAAGAAGACCCGGATGAATATCCTGAGGAAAGGTTAAAAAAAAAATTCACGTGGGACTTAAATATGGTCTGAGCATTGATGCGGCCAAATGACATGATCAAGGACTCGTAATGTCCTTCATGTGTTCTGAACATTGTCTTGTGCACATCGATTGAACCCATACCGATCTGATGATATCCTAACTTCAAATCAGTCATTGAGAAAATGACTATCCCATATAGCTCATATAGCAACTCATCAATCATAGAAATAGGAAATTTGTCCAAAACAGTTTCCTTGTTCAAAGTCAAGTAATTCATGCAAAATCGCCAAACTACCATCTTTTTACTTCACCAATAGGATTGGATTGGGAAAGGGGCTCACACTGGGTCTGATAATCCTGGCTTCAAGTATCTCCCGGATCAACTTGTCTCTCATCCTTCAGAATCTGAGGATACTGGCATGGTCTGACACCGATAGGAGGAACACCCTCTTTTAATGGAATGGCGTGTTCGTGCTCTCTCAAGGGAGGTAAACCACTTGATTGCTAAAAGATGTCAGTAAACTGCTTCAGGAACTGTCCCCTTAGGAGACTGCGAACTCGGGATCTAGAATCTCCTCGATGCTCTACAACTCCACCAAATAGCATAATCCCGCTTTCTGTATCGTCTTAACCATGGTTTTAAGCGAGGCCATAGTTCTACATAAGCTAGCATCTCCTCCGAGCACCATCTTCCTACTATCCACCTTGAACTCCATCGTCACAGATTTTCAATCCACCTTAATCTCCCAAAACACCTGCATCCACTTTATCCCCAGACTTACGTCTGTGCTGCCCAAGTCCAAGGGAAGGAAAGCCACCACCTATAGGTCATGTAGCGTCAGAACCAATACCTTGCAAATTCCCCAACTTTTCATTCCTTTCCCCGTCCCCATAATGACACCAAAGCTCCACGTATCTACCAAAAAACTCTAAACCTAACTGATCTGCGACCTGATTTGAGGTAAAGTTATGTGTGACCCCATTATCCACTAATACCACAACCGACTGCCCCCTGATTCGTCCTTTCGCATTCATAGTGTGCCTCAGAGAAAATCTCACCAGTGAATTTAAGGAGACCTCCGCTACATCCAAATGCAGAGACTCATCTTCCTCCACCACGTCTCCAACTCCTCACCGTCTGTCTCCTCCCTCATGAACTAAAAGGATTTGAAGTGTACGCTCCTTATGGTGCTGGCTTGGGGCATATTTCTCATCACATAATCCTTTCGCTCTTTTATCCAACACTTCTACATCGATGAGGCTATTGAAATTGCCCCTGAGACAATTCACCGTTTCTTCTCGTTTGGCAAATCCTTCTGAAATGAAACCGCCTAGGTCCTTTGTGTCATGGTCGTCGATGCACTCTTGTAGAATCCTCGTGGTTGCACCCTTTTTTGGTCTTCTTCACTTTTTTCTTTTCTTCCATCATCTGGGAAAGCTCCATCATTTTCCTCAATCCACGTGATCTCAATGGTCGGATGGTCATATGGATATCGGGCTTTAGGCCATTCGAGAAGTTCCCCTCCAGTCATGCTGTAGAAATACCTTTCAGCCAACCTGACAAGAGCTCAAATTTCTTCTGCATTATGTGATCTTCTCCTCCTGATTTAGAACATAGAATTACTTGTGTAGGTCTCTTTCCCAGATGACTCGAAAATATTCCAACAAGCAATCTTTAAATTTTTCCCATGTATGCCTTGGGTACCTAACCTCTATCAACTGAAACCATGCTAGAGCCTCTCCCCCCAAACATAATCCTACCGCAATGAGTTTCTCTTTCTCGATCAACTTATTTACTGCAAAGTATCGCTCCACCCGATACACCCACCCATGTGCATCCTCCCATTTGAAGATCGGCATATCTAGTTTCCTTACTCTCGCATCTCCACCCTAACTTCCTCTCTCTCCAACATTTCCGTCATGTGTCAGGGTGAAACTTCGTCCTTCAATCATAGTCATACTCTCTCCCACTTATCTCCTTCCTTCGTCATGCTCCTCCGTGCCCCTTGCAGCACCCCTCCTCCGTGCCCCTTGCTTTCATTCTCGTTGCCATCTCGTTCAATCTCTTTTTCTTTTGATGTGGCCAAAGATTTTTTAATTAACCCTTGATTAGGGTTTACAATTTGAACCATTGGCGGGATCTTGAATTGCATCTCCAATAGCTTCTTCATCATTTCTTCCATGCTCTTGCATCGATCATCAATTCTCTATGGGAAAAAACATATCCTCCATGGTGGCGAATCTTTCTTCCCTTCTCAATCTGATTTGCCCTATTTCTCCTTACAAACACATTCACTTTCTTTGTTGTCATTCCTCAAAGATCTTGCTCTGATACCAATTTGATATGATCCAGAACTAAAACAAAGAATGAACAACGAAGAAATTGCAATACAAAGGTAGACAAACTCAAAAGAGGTCTGGTTTTCCTAATATCAATGAAAGCAAACAATATACAACATTGATCCACTATTCAAGAGGTAGATCGCCTCTCCATAAGCCCTGGATGTCGCTAGGAACACCATCCAAACAAAACCTAGACAATTAGACCGCTGAAATACTCTCCCAAATCCATTCAAACTTTCCTCCCAAAACCTCGATTAGCGATTGTGTGGGCCACGGGTGGGGGGGGGGGGGGGGGGCGGGCCGACG